TTCTGTCCCTGATTAACTAGTGTATTAATAAGTAAAGGCAACAGCATGGATTGAGATCACTGAAACAGTGCAAAAATTTCCTGTCACTGATACACGTAATATTTGAGGGTATGTGAATGCCCGTGTTGGTGGCACCTGTTAGAAAGACCTTGCTCATAGACTCGGTCCTTTGCACTATCATTTATTTCATTGCTTTAAAGGGCTAGTTTAATAAATGAAACTAAGCATATTAGCATCAGGGCCTGTAAAATGTTACTGTTTATTAATTTGAAGTATATGTGTTTTTACAGAAGTTGATTGCTTTTGGAGGATGTACCTGCAAATAGCGACTACTATAATAATAATATTGCACTTTATATTTCTTTGTACTCATTCTTCTATTTTTTAGTCTATTTTATGCCCCTCAATCTTGTAATAATGGAGGACAATGAAGTATGAAACAAAAAGAAAGTACTGTAAATTCACAAAAATATTTTCCCCTCCCAAACTATTTTATTGCAGAATTTGTGCAGTGGTGTAGTCAGTGCAGAATTTATTTTTCAGGTTATATTGTGTGTTTTCTTACCTGATGGTTGAGCATACTAGTACAATAGTGAATGTCATAGATCACTTACGAATTCAATTAGTTTTGGTATATTTTTGATTTTGTTAGAAGTCTTCTAAAGTTGTTTTTGCTTTTACTTCAGAGTGCGAGTTCTTTTGTTACTGCTTAATCATTCTCATTTGTTTAAAAAAAAAGCATTTGTCTTTTCTGTCAGTTTGCTGCTATTTAAAATTCTATGAAAAACATCTGCTAGTTTGGAATTTAAAGTTGCATTTTTCTGCATACAATAGAATCAGCATCAGTATGAAAAGAATTAAACAATTATTTTAATCTTTAATTTGGCTTGTTTTGAATGAAATTATTATTGCATTTGATCGGATTTTGTAGAGATAAAGAGATGCCTAGTTAATTAAAGAGTGCTTTTTTATAACATACATAAGTATTGTTAGGTGAAGATAATTTCAGATAATCTATGAAGATGATATTTGAAGATTGATCCAATGCTTGAGAAATCATCTTTTATGTTTTCCAGTAAGTTGGATTTATGTCACTGAATGAAAATCTCCAGTGTGTTCACCTAAAAATGCATTGTGAAAATCAGAAGATAAGTTGTAAACTCTTCATAAACAAATGATAAGCATAACACTTATTTTAAGTGTTTCAAGGAAAAAAAATATAGAGGGGTCCTATGCTTCGAAGTGGAAAACTTAAAATCTAAAAGCTGGTTGGTGGTAATACTGAAAAAAAGAATAATTGATATAGAATAAAATTTTACTGCAGTGTTATTTCATCAATGCTTTAATTTTTGTTTAGTAAAACTTCTTTCTTGTAACTGAGTTGGGTATGTGTGCAGAATAGTATTAATGTGTTTCAAATTACTAATAATGATGTTTCGCTCACTGATGTTCAGCCTGCCATCTTTCAATGGCAAAGGGCCTGTTGATATTCCTGGGAGTTTAGGCAACTGCAGTGCAGGACAGATTAAATAGTACTTTTTAAATTATGTGCAGAAGTAATAAGAATATTAAAGTGGCAGAGTTAAGCACCAGAAGTTGCCTGTTCCAACCTTAATGTAGTCTTGTTGTGCGTATACATTATGATAATTCTGTTCCTTGTTATACTGAAAATCTGTTTCAAATTTTCTTAAATGCAAGATTGTCATCTGTCTTTTTGCAGTTCTCTGCTCCATCTCTTGTCTCTCACATACATTGAAAAGTTAAGTACCTTGAAGAAATACTCTCTGATCATGTTGTAAAAAGCTGTATCACAAGTGATAGGCACTGAGGGATCAAATTAACACTGCATGAGAAGCAGAGTTGTCAGCAAAATACTTTAGTTGGTGGTTTGTTTCTGTTTCTGTCCCTACAATTACGTTAGGGCCCAGATAGCAGCTACAGAACTGCTTACAGATTCCCAGTAGAAGAAATGGGAACTAAAAGTAACACGAAAACTAGTTTGAGTGAAGAGTTTTGGAAAGATGCTGCCTGTTAAAGTTCCCTGCAGAGCAGTGAAGAAGATTCATTGATTCTGTAATTTCTCTGTATTTTACGTTCTGATTATATTGTGATGACCTAGTGATGGACTGGACTTTGACATATTTCAGGAGAGAGTACATACATTTATGAGACTATTAATGTTTGTAGGAGAGAGGAGAGGGTTGGGTTTTATTGTGTGAACAAGTCTCAAGTTCTGAGGCTTCATAAGTTTCAAACTATTGTCTGAGTTTTTAAACAGAAGCAACACGCAATATTCAGCGTATGGGCTGTCTGTTTTCAGCATGATGATGCATGCGTCCTACCAAAATATTTTCAATGAAGGTTTCTGGTGTTTCAAAAATAATTTAGTTGATATCCATAAATATACCTGGATTAGATGCTTCCGGTTTCTGAGTTGCTGTTAGCATGTTCTCTTGGGTCGCATTTTTCTGCTATCCCTTTCTCGTGAGGTTGTCTGCTGTTTCTGACAGGGTCATTGCCAGAATTCTTGAGTAGAGTGCCTGCTCTTCATATAACTCATGCTGTGAATGCCTCTAAATATTGGTATTTTAAGATATAGTTATATATATCTATATACACCTACACACATGTATGTGTGTCTATGTGTAAAGGAGCTGATTCTGAGTTCTGGAATTGCTGATGAAAATAGCAGAAGTAAAATTGTTCTTCAAAACCTACGGTTGCTTTCTTGATAATTTTTGTAGAAATCATAAGACTCCCGTGAATCTTTAAAGATCCTGTCATGCAGTCATTGTCTGAGAATTTCTCCCTGCACTTTCATGACAACTGAAATCTATGGATGTATTCTTGGGTTCAACCCTGCAGGTTCAACATCTGGCTGATGGAAGCATAACATTTTCACCAGAGGTTCTTGCACTTGGAATTTGCTTCCTTCTGTGGATCTGTGTCAAAACCTGACTGAGCCTGTTTAACTTGAGGCAATGGTGTAAAGCCCATCTGTTCCTTGAAACTTTCCCCTGAAGGAGTCATCTAGAGTGTATTTATGTTCTCAGCTGTGGTTGTGCTTTTTCAAATATTTAGTTGATGCTTTTTGACTCATTAGTGGTTTGGTTTTTTTAAAGGTATGCTGAATGGGTGTATTCTTACAGCAAATTTTAAGAATGTTGCAGAACTTCCCTGTCTTGTAAAGACAATGAAGAACTCTTGTCCCTGCTTACTATGAATGGAGAAATAACATTAGTGAACTGCTGCTGTTAAGAAGAATAGTGTAGAGAACCCACTGAGACTTCTCTTGTTATATTTTAAGTATGCAAAAGTCTCTGGAAATAAGTGGAAATGCAGAGGATATGTAGCTGAATACCTTTGCACACCTGGTTTTAAAATATTCTGACAGTGTAATAGGTTGTTACATTCTTTTGAGGGGAAGAATACTAAAATTTTGCAGATAGTTTCATTCTTTTTGTATTTGAACTTGGAATTACTGATTTAATTTGGCAGGTGGTCTATGTGACCAAGGTGATATTCAAATTTTAATAATAATTTACTTCATGAACCTTTGTTGAGTAATCTTGGAGGAAAAAAGTGTACAGTTAAGTAATTAGCAAAATTAAAAATAAATTTAAAAAGAACATTATGAAATATTTTTCCGGATAAAGAGATTATGTTTGTCTGTGATGTCATGTCTTATTGTAAATGGTTTAGGTTAATGTTTTCATGAGAGGAAAAGAGACAACATTATTACAAAGGTGCTTCAAGTGCAAATATTAGGACTGAATTACATTCATTTGTTCTTGTAGGATGTTTGAATGAATAATTTCATTAACTGAAGAAGATATTGAGGCTTGCCTACATGCAGAAGCTATCACAAAATAAGTTATGGTATGAATTTAAAGTATAATAGCTATTCAGCACTAACTCCTTATATGAACAATTTTATTCTGTACTACAAATGACCTTTCACAGTTTAGTTGACTGAAAAACATGCAAGTTCCCTCCAGCTCCAACAACGAATAAATATTTATGTAGGGAGTTAGTGGAGAATAGTTACTACATGATAAAATTACATTGTTAGCTTATTCTGTACTCCACTAGCCTCCTTAAAAACATCCTTAGGACAAAGTATAATATTACATTACAGATGGATTCTTACAGGTACTTGTATGTTGGGTGTGGATTTAGAGCAAAATGTAATCCTTCTGAAAATATTTGTGAAAAATGTTTAAAGTGTTAACAATATAATTCAGTTAGAGGTACTAAGTCCAGTATGCTTTGCTGGAATTAAAGATGTTGGTCATCTGAATTTGGTTATCATTATTTGTAAAATAAATTAATAGACTCATTAACTAAGTTAGATTTACTTACTTGGTTTAGTTGACTTGTAAGGATTAATGATGTTAAGAAAACGAGAGGATTAACAGCAGCTGGTATGTTTTGGATTCAATTATAGGTCATAAATAACTTCTTTTCAATAATAGTAAAATCACTAAATGACCTTTATTCTCTTGCATAATATTATGTGAATATGGCAAAGCTAAATTCCCATGTGTCATTGCTGATGTAATAGATAAGTAAAATAAATGGCTACAAGAGCTATCCTGTGCCCAGCAGCTTCTGAAGATGGCCACTGTTCTGCTGCCTTCTGGCTTTCTGACATAGGGACTTTGGGACACAAATATGGAAGCCTTCAAATGAGAAAATCAGAAGATGGTTGAATGCATGGATCTCTTAAGCCACGTGAAGACAATAACATTGATTGTGTATTGATGTATTTAAATATGATATGTATTTAAATATGATATGCATTTTGGCTTTTCATAAGAATATAATTGCAAATACTTGAATCTGCTTGTTTTGCAGTTTTTACCAACAAACTACTTTTGTTCTAAAACAAAAGCATCCATTGTTTTTTAGGAGCTTTTATCACAGTAAGATTCATTGTCTTAAAATGTATCTCTATGAGTTTGTTAAATATACTTTCTTTGGTTCTACAATTTTCTAAGAAAATAGAAAAACTGGGATTAGAGCTGAATGGAAACAAACAGCGTTTGGAACAAGCTCAGCAGGATGTGACAGGAGCCAGAGAGGAGTGCCTAAAACTGACAGAACTGCTGAGTAAATCTGAGCACCAACTGCACCTCACCAGGTACCCCTTATCCTATTACATGCTGTAGTACCAATTTCATTCTGCTAATTTTTTGCCATAGGCTTCCTCACAGTTGTTATAGATACTTGCAGTCATTGATTGCATGGGCAGCCCTCTGTCAGTTAAAAGTGGAGATTTAAATAAGTGAGTTATGAACTACAATGTGAATTATGAACTGTAGTTTATGAAAGTGAATGACTAGTGTGAGGAAAAGGCAATGTTCAGCTCTGTTGATGAGGTAGCATGCTTTTGGGCAGGAAGAAGAACAAGGGAAAGTGCAGTTATACTCTTTTTGTTGCTGTGTTTGGTGGGACAAAGACATTTTATCTGTAGTTTGTGACTGTAGTGCACAGCAGCACCGTTAAGCATAGGAGTTCTGAGATTAATAACCTGAAGTTTCTGCAGCAGAGTGACCAGGAACATATAAATGAACATAATCGTGTTAAGCTTCTTTGAAGATTAAACAATAAAAAGGTAATATTACTGTCTATGAGCAGGAGGTAATCTCAAGTATGTGAGGAGGGTGTTTAAGTCGCTTCCTCAGTGGAGATGTGGTACAACACAAACACTGTGTGACAAGAGACTTTGCCTGAGTTCATTCCATCCTTGGATGTAGCTCCCAAAGCGATTTATTGTACTATTCATTACATGCTTCTAGAAAACACTAGAAGGTTGACATGCCAATTATTCATTGCAGCTTGAGTTTTGGTAACTGCAGGAATTTCTCCTTTTGCCACAGAAAATGCTGTTGTCTGACTGTTTGCAGGGTTTTGGTTGTGTGTGTGTATTTTGTTTAGTTCCACCCTTTGCTCCCCCCAAGAGTGGACATCCAGAAACAAATCGGGCAGCTTTTACTGAATCCTTAAGGTAAAAAAGTTAAGTTAGTTTAAATTTTATGTTGGGAAAAAAAAACCTTAGATTTTTTATCATTTAACAGAAGTCCGCGTGTTTATCCAAGTCTGTTACTCTTTGGGCTTTGTGAGAGTTCTGTCATTGAGTAACTGGAAATAAAACAGAGCCTCGCCTAAACTATTAAATTCAATGAATCACTTTTTTATTCAGCTGCATTTCTGTGTAATTCAGAGCACGGTTGTTTAACAGATGGAAGAAAGTACCACTCTAACAGCCTGTATTTAGAGAAAAAATATGCTAGAGGTTAATGAACTTGAAAAAAGTTTTGGGTGAGTTGTTAAGATATCTAAAGTTTGGATTTAGCAGAACTTTATTAATAATGATTTGTTGTGATAGTTAACCAAATGGCTTACCACGCTCCTTTTAGCAAAAGGCTGATTATATGCAATAAAGCTCTGGATATCTTGGAGGAAATCTGACTAGCCAATTTTAATTTTTTTTTTGTGAAACTACTTTTAAAAATGAGGACTATTGCCTGCTTTTACATAGTGAGGTACTTAAAGCTGGATACCTAACATACAGCTGATTCAGGTAGCTTTTCAATGGGAAGTTTCTGAGATGCAAATCACTGCAGGCTGGGTACAGTATTTTGGGCAACTAGTGCTCTGTGCTGGCTCTGCTCTCACACAGTTTCACAGACATCTGCTTTTTGAGACTGATGCTGAACTGCCACGGCTTCTTTGTCTTTGTCTTAGTCTTACCTACTACAGCTGCTTTTCTGCAATGTCCTAATCTTTATTCTATTTTTCATACTTTGTGTTCATGTTATGGCCACTGCTTATAAGTATGCTTATAAGTATGCTTATAAGCAGTGAAATGTTTTCTGTGCTGACACCTAATTGTCAGAAAAATGTATACACTGAAGCATGAAAAAGAGGTTCAAATCTTTCTCCTTGATATTCCCCATATTCTGCAATACCTTGTTCTCTGTTGGTTTTTTGTGTCCTCCTTATCTTTGAAGTGTCTGTCTGCTTTCTAGGAATACATTAGGTGGTGTTGCTGTAATGGATGAGGAAGGGGGAAAAAGAGATGAGAGATTAGTTGCAGCTGAACTGTTACACGTTGTCCCCGTGTACTTAGATTGGTAGGACAGGGTTAGAGATGTTCTTGTGAAGTTGTTGGTTTTCCCTGACTCGCAAAGGAAAAGATCCCCCACTGAAATAAAACTTTTCCTTATCCTGTACTCTTTTTCTTCCTCTCAGATCACTTCCTGCTAGAAACAGGTTTTCTCTACTAGTGAAGGTATAAAAGTTGCATGTCTTTAGCCGCATTAGTTTTGCATTTTGAACTCGGTATTTTTCTGATTTATTGGTACATCCATGGCTGTTGCACATGAACTTTAGTGGTTTGCAGTCTGCCTTCTTTTATATTTTTTTCTCTTCACCTCAAATGGCAGCTGTGCCAGTGAAATATACTCACTTGAAGAGTAGTGGTAATAGCAGTCCTGTGGGGGTTATAGAATCATTCACTGTGGCACTTGCCAAGGAAAACAGATTTTAAGCTCTAGAGTCCTGCCTGTGGGAGGTTGATGCAGAAATTGCACTGATTTAGTGCATCTCTTGGGTATTCTGGCCTTGGCCTCGTCTTGCTGATTTCCCTCTTTTCAGGAGAGGACCAGCTGGTCCACTCCAAGTCTTCTCACAACGCTGGACTGGAGGGAGGCCTGTACTGCTGTTACACGGTTGTGGATAGTCTTTGTGTGGCCTTGCATGACCTGTCTGGGTTGTTCTGGCAAAAATTAGAGGTAACTGAGGATGTACAGAAAGAATTCATTGTTTTTTATGGAATTGTATATTACTAAGAAAAGTTCTTTACTAATCCACTAATTCTAAGTTTGGATATTGTAAATAAATAGAATAGAAAAATTAATAGAAGAACTTTGGATTTTAATGTATGAAAATGATAAATATTATATGACTGGATTAAGGGAGAAAGAGCATGCAGACTATGTCTTAATCAGAAAGTGCTTGCAGAACTGCACTCTTCTCCAGGAGTCCCACTTCTTTTTTGCTGCATCCTAGTTTTCAGACACCGTTGATTGATTACCAACTAAACAGCTTCTAAGTTAACAAAATGTACTTGTTAAAATCAAGAAAAAGGTTACAATTAGCTATTCTAAACCATTGCCACAGAGTTTAAATTTGCCTTTTCCTGTCACCTTTCTTCCTGGAGCAATATGTTGCTTAGAAATCCTTGCTATTAACATGCATTTCCTGCTATTGAATCTAGTTAGTAATTCTAATTTGTATGTCTTCAAATGACTAGGAAAATACAGAACGTTTGCTGTGGAGTTTTGATTGTCAGTCGTGTAACTTTGCAGATGTCACCATGCTGTGACACTGACCGTGCTTGTTTAAAGTATTAATTTTTTTACCTTAGTTTCAGCTTTGTGTTTATTTGTATTACAGTTACCATAGTAGAAGAATCTTACAAAATTACTTCTGGGGTCAATGTTAAATTGCCATTACTTTGGCCAAATTGGGTCTTGCTAATGAAGCTTATCTGAATCCATTCTTCAGAGAGTAGGCAACATACAGATCTATTGTTCTTAGTTCTTGAGAGAATAACCATTAAAAATCATGTCAGTATGCCAGTGGAAAAGATTGCATAAAAGATGCAAGATGTTAACATCTTGCTTAGGTTTCAGTGTGTGATCTAATTTAATAAATTTTTTCACTTTTTTTTGCGTAGTGGAATAATCATTAAAAATCTTTTCCTCCTTTTGTTACAAAACGATTCTGAAGCTATTGTTTCAGTTGCAGTCAGGTGTAGTTTCTGTTTCAACGTGCCAAAGCAGTTAAATAAATCTTAAAAAGTGATGGAATCAGTGCATTTCAAAATCAAACTTTTTCTATGCCATCATGCATTTTCTCAGACATGGAGGTAGGTGGACGGCTTGAGATATATTTGAGTAAAACGTCATCTAGCATTTTCTGGGACATGTAATTAAGTGGAATTGAAACTAATTTAATTTAATTTAATTTTTTACTCTTCTTCTTTGCTTATATGAAACATTGAAAGCAGTACTGATTGTCAAGTTCTTGGTGGGGAAAAATTGCTAAACACTAGAAGAACCTGTGTTTCCAGTTTCAGGTGACCTGCCAAGCTACCCTGAATGCCTGTGTCACTCACTTGAAGGATAAAAATTCGTATTACAGTGAGGACAGTGGATGTTGTAGTTCTTGACATTATTCCCTCCCTCCCCTCCCCCTCATTATGTGATATTTCTTTTTTCCCTTAATTTTGAAAATTATATGATGTCGTAGAAAGCAGCATATCAAAGAAAGTGGCATTTGGGGAGTACAGTGGATTTTAGCAGTGCTATAGCCTTCCTAGTGTGCATCAGTCCTTCTTGCTAGTTTCAGCACCTCTATTAATGCTAATTTGTATTATATGTATAATAAATAAGGCGTATAAATCTATAATTTCACCTCCAGGTTCCTGTGGCATTATTTAGTCACTGAAACTGGTGTTGAGCTGTATGTCGTCACCACTGTTCCTCATTAGAATTGCAGCATGCCTCATACATTGATTTCCCTATTTAAGCGATATTGTTAAATGATAAAATATAAACTAACTTCCTGATTTATAGAAGGTGGTTATACTTAGCCTTCTAGGGAATGCACAGTACTTAGTATTATCTATTGGATTTTTTTCTAGTAGTATCTATTAGCTAGCAGCACGCTTACTGTCGTGCTTTTTCCAACAATTTTAGCACATCAGAAAGAATCCATCGTCTATGCTGGAAAGGAGGTAACATTTGAATAAATGCTTTTACTAATATTAAAGGACTGAGATATGATTTATATTACCAGACTGACTGACTGATGAAAGGACCAATAACACTTAAATTGCGGGGAGGAAGGGGGGAGAGGGGAGAGGAAGAAATGAAGTGTAAGCAGTGATTGATTTCTAATTTTTTATATATTTTGCTCATCTTGTACAAAACTATTATTTTAAAATGCAGGGAGGAGTGATAGCATGAAAGAACTCTGATAACTAATAAACTTTTTAGATTCTGCTTCATATGTTTACTTTTCATTAAATTTGGGGAAGGTTGCGACTATGTTGTTGTGATTCAGTCAACA